CTCTCTCTCTCTCTCTCTCTCTCTCTCTCTCTCTCTCTCTCTCTCTCTCTCTCTCTCTCTCTGGGGATGGTAACCACCAGTACACGGCCCCAGCCTTGTAGAAAATCACGAGTTGTTTACCCCGAAAACGTTTTTGCAGCTTGGGGTTACTCTAGCACAATGGCTGCAAAAACGTGTTTTGGCTGGCGCCAGCCAAAACAGAAAAGAAGTGTGCCGCTGGCGTTTCGGAAAAGCGTGGCGTGTTCAGGGCCGGGGGCACTGGTGGGGTAAGGGAGGAACCTCAACATTTGGCGTGTTGATGTTGTGAAATTATTTTCCGGGATCCTGCTGCCAGGTCCCTACCTGACCTGAAAGCTTTTGCATGCCTGGCAGATGTTCTGTACAGTTTTTTCCCCTACTGCCCGCACACTTGGGGTACCCCTTTGCCATACGAAGACTTCACTGTCAAAAATGTATGTTTTTGACACCCCTTGGTTCTTCTGATCAGACTTGGGGGGAGGTCGAACCACCGTCGCTCACTGAACACAATGCACCCTCATCAGGAATGTATTGAACCAGAAAGATGTGGCCAGCCTGTTTTTATCATAATAAGTTAATATAAGTTAATAACGGAAATCAAAACGGAGTCCCGTGGCATTTTCTACAATGTTTTTGCTCGTTAATCCCCATGTCACACCTTGGCACTCAGGCTGCGGTCTGAGCTCATTGAGTGGTTAGTGGGACCTTGCCCCTGGACATCCGGATGCTATCCGAACTGTCGCCATCTGGATGCATAGCATTGCACGCCGTTTCTAGATTGTTTCCATCAGGGCCAACCGGATTTTCAGTGTCCCCATTGTGGTTTTGTTAACATAACTGTCAATTGGTCATTATGTATGTGGAGTTGTGGACCTACCGACGCTACAGTCACCTAGTTTATTTATTTAGTGTCTTTTAAGTTTTAACTTTTGTTTTCCTTTCTCTGTGGTCTTGCAGAAAGGGTAGGTGGTGAGGTGGTCGAATGCGTGTGCGTCATCGAGCTTCCTGAATTGAAGGTATGATCTCTCTCTCTCTCCCCCCCCCCCCTCTCTCTCTCTCTCTCCCTCTCTCTTTCTCTTTCTCTCTCTCTCTCTCTTTCTCTCTCTCTCTCTCTCTCCCGGTACAATCTCTCTCTCCCTCTCTCTCTCCAGGTACAATCTCTTTCTCTCTCTTCCTGAATTGAAGGTATGATCTCTCTCTCTCTCTCTCTCTCTCTCTCTCTCNCTCTCTCTCTCTCTCTCTCTCTCTCTCTCTCTCTCTCTCTCTCTCTCTCTCTCTCTCTCTCTCTCTCTCTCTCTTCAGGTCCAATCTCTCTCTCCCTCTCTCTCTCCAGGTTTCATGAGGTGGAGGGTCGTGCCATTCACTTGACTAATAGATGAACATAAAAATGTCTCGATGTCTACCCAAGAGCCTAGCTCAGTGGGTACACCCCTGAACTGTTGAAATACAGACCTGTGTTCGAATCCAGATGATGAAACTTGATGAGTAAAGTTGTAAAACCAACTATTTCTGAAAAAAAAAAAAAGTCTCGATGTGACCTGAAAGGGTTCACAAAGTGATCATAACATTGGCACCCGTATAATATGGGGGGATAAAACATGACACGTCCTGGGAACCAAGAGACTCGAGCCCTGACCGTAAAGGCTGTTGAAGCTTCAAGACATGGTGACTGCTGTTTCCACAGTTTTGAAAAGCGAAATTTGCTACAAACTTTTTCGTCGAAAACTTGCCTCTCGACGCCGAAGTGAAAGTAGTACGTGAATAGTGCGAAGAACAAAAAGCTTCGACTGGGAGCGTGATGTGCCCTGCTTGGTCGAGTAGATTTTGCATTGCCGCTCAATTCGCCTGTTACTCTGCAGAACTTCTGCAGCAGAAGGTTGTCGCGATGGGGGAATAAACAATAAAGATAAATAATATTAAATATGGTGTACTGAAACATCTGAAAGACCACTACTGCATTTTACTCTGCAGATCTTTGTAATGATGGGGAAAAAAATTCAAAAAAATTCAAAAAATATGACAAGGGGTAACTATGGCCCAGTCACGAGAACAGTTTGAAAATGCACTTTAGGGCCTTAGGCATGCCCTTGAACATAACAAACCCGCACGTGACCGTACTAGACCTGAAACCTAGCTTGTATACATTTGACATTTTATGATTTTCAGGCCTTTTGCCTGGAAGTGCATTTTCAAGCTCAAACCCTGACTGCGTCGTAGTTTTCTCAAATTATGGTTTTTCAGGAGCAGAAGTCTGCAATGCGATGAATACCATTGATTCATGGTTCTGCATTGAGGGTACTGCAAAGCTGCTTCCCTGGCGACAGAACAAGCCCCCCACTCCCACCCCGCTTTGTCCGACACCCGTGCAGTCGTGTCTCAGTGGTATGATGTGCATGTATCTTCCCGCTGCCTACCCTGCGTCTCCCTTCCCCTCTATCTGTACCTCTTTCTAGTCAATGCTTGGTAAAAATAGCCTCCACTCACTAAGAGACACTTCTATTTCACCACCTCACACCCCTCCCGCTCTCCCACCGCTTCCCTGTCTCCCTTTTTCTGACCCCCCATGAGTGGGTGCCCTTCGTGTAATTAGGTGGAATTCTTGACCCGGTCACACAGGTTATGGGATGCTTCCTTTTTTTTTTTTTTTTTTTTTTTTTTTGAGGTTATGGGAGTTTTTAACAAGAGATTGGAGTGTGCTCTCAGAATTTTCTTTGTTTCTAATTTTAGACTAGTAAATGCGATTGGTTGATGTGGTTGGGAAGGCTGGTCGGCGAGGACAGGGGTAGCCAAGAAAAGTTGCCGGGGTTAGGTAGATGGGGGAAACATACGGCAGGCTAGGAAGATAAGACCCTGCAGAAGTTTATGAGAAGTTCAAGAATTGCCGTCGGGTGGAGAGGTAAGCTCGAATGTACGTACGGCAAGTTAGGAGGAACCTGCAGAAGTTTGAAGAGTTGAAACTTGACACAGAAGACATTTTTGAGCGTATGAGAAATCTTTCGTTATGATTCATGTTATATGATTTTTTTTTTGCGCGAATGGTTGCCGCGATCTGGGCTACCAGCCGGTTCGCGCAGGACATCCTCTTTTCCTGGGCAGTGCAAAAATCCAATAGAAAACAAAACTATTGTATGCAGAAAAAGAACCAAACAACTTTTGCCTCATGGTTATATCAAAATTATTTTCCAAAAATAAAAAATAAAAAAAGAGTTTAAAAGACTCTAAAAAAGTACTTATTGTTTTATTTCGTTTTGGCCCGGGCGGGCAAGTGGTCCTGGGCTATTCTGGTAGTCCAGTCGCTGATTTTTTTTGGGGCCAATGTTTTGTACCATTTCTTGATTTATCCGTGCCATTGTCGCGTAGGGTTTATGCTAATCATCTGTGTTTGGTTCCGACTGTATTGCATATCCGAAAGGATAAGAACAAGAATAAAACAACAACAACAACAACAACAGAAAGAAGAAGAAGAAGAAGAAGAAGAAGAAGAAGAAGAAGAAGAAGAAGAAGAGGAACGACAAAATGATTTTGGATCCCTGCCTTTGCATCTTTTCTGTTTGTACTGCAGGGCCGTGCGAAGCTCAATGGGAAGCCATTGTTCACCGTCGTCGAGTTTGAAGGCCACTAACTTGTGATCTCAAGTTTGGTGGAATAAGGAAGTAGGTTGCGGGCAAAAGTTTTGGGAGAATGTTTCTTTCGTCTTTTCATAAGTTGTTTTTGCTGTGTTTTCGTTTCGGCATGTTCCGCCACACGGCTGGCAGCCACGGGGATGGAGACGGTTTGTGAGCTGGGTAGCTGCATCGGGATGTCTGGACCTGTCCGGATTAGATTGGAAATGTTTTTATTCTATTATTTTTTGAAGTTCACCAGGATGGTCGTTAGGGGGGGGGGGGGGGGGTGCCTCTATCACCTCTCCTAGCGGGGAAAGTTTTGGTTTCTCAAAACTCTTCAAAAAAATGTGGAATGAACAAGTGTTATGTGCGGTGACAAGACAACTGATTTTTGGCTGAGCGTCTTTCTCAAGCCCGCAACCAATTTGAATTAAAAAAAAGTAGAAACGAAAAGAAATAAGGAAATGTACATATTTATTTTTTTAAGGGCATTCCCTGGTTGTGGTCAGGTCTGGATCAGATAAGGATGTTTGGTGCAGTCCAGATGATTTAATGTTCGGTGGCCGGATAGGCCTAATCGCCAGGTAAATGATTTGTTAGCCTTTCTTTTTTTTTCCTTTTTTTTCGCCCATCCCGGCCTAATCGCCAGGTAAATGATTTGTTAGCCTTTCTTTTTTTTTCCTTTTTTTTCGCCCATCCCAGATGTTGTGGACAATGTCAGCCAGAAAATCAAAATATATATCCTTGGGGACAACAGTACACCCAGCGTTTATCATTTCTTCTGATAAACCCTCCAATGGCATGCCCTCTCTTCCCAAACGTCCTTTTCCTGCACACTTTGCGCCTTTCAGTAGAGTGGACGGGTGAACGGACGGGATCTGCTTGGTGAATTGTGCATCACGAGAGTTGGAACCCTTTTGGAATGTGGATAATTGTGTGGCGAGCAGACAGTTTTGCTAGTGGGTGGGAATATTTTGAAGGACTGGTGTCTTTTGGGTATCTTGAACGGTTTCTGATTGCATTTCAGCAAGACGGTAAATTGGGAGGCCTTTTCATGTAAATTATTATGTGTGTGTGCATAGTGTGAAACACCGTGCACTCGGTCGAGGTTTTGGAGTGCGGGGGAGAACTTTTTGGGCAAGGTTGCTTATTTTTTGCAATTGCCTGTGAAGGACATGGTCGACAAAGCGTTTGTATGTGTGTGTATGTCTGTATTTGTGTGTGTGTGTGTGTGTGTGTGTGTGTGTGTGTGTGTGTGTGTGCGGATACAAGTACACTCTGCATTAGCTCCACTGCACCCTCTGTCTGTGTGTGTGTGTGTGTGTGTGTGTGTGTGTGTGTGTGTGTGTGTGTGTGTGTGTGTGTGTGTCACTTACGTAACAAAACGACGTGAAATGATACGTATCTCACATCATCGATATCCGAAGCAAGTCATCAGCACAATCTTCTATAAGTGCACGTAGCAAGGGATTTCAGCAGGCCTCCTTCCCATTTGAAAGACCACAGGACCTGTTAGCATAGCCAGTTCCGTTGCAAGCGGCGTAACAAGCCAGGGGGCCTTGGTCTTAGAGTACATTTGTAGCCCGGAGGAAGCATGCAATACCATTATGCGCAAGGATTCACAATAATCGTAGGCAGCTTTGGACATACAATAATGCATAATCCTGGAGGTCAACTCAAAATATACCATCGTTGCTTTTGTCCTTTTTTTGTCGTTTCTAGCAATCATATATGTTCTTTATTGCGCTAGACGTGGCACTGTCAGTAATCAAGATATCGGGGAAGTTTCGTAGTGGCTTGTCGCGGTATGGCAACATCACAATCTCCCGAAGTTCAGCAGCTGGCGCAAGGACGCATATATGTGCAAGATACGCACACACGTATTCGTGGCTGTGTATGCCGGTGTCCAATGTGCGCGCTCAACAAGGGAAAGCAGAAATGGAAGGGAGAGCAGGAAAGCGGAATGCTTTTCCAATTGCCAAATCCCGAGGATTAGACTCCTTGCTAAGGAATAGGAGATAGGGGTATCCATATTGGCGAATACATCCTCTGATACATGCCTGTGATACATGTTCTTTCTGATACATGCCTGTGATACATGTTCTTCTGATGCATGTTCTTCTGATACATTCTTTTGAAATAGAGCACATGTCTGCCAACATGCTTTGGCCGAAGCTATGTGCGTAAATTAATGAGAAATATGGTTTGATGGGGAACCTATTTGAAGTCTGACGCAGATGACAACAGATATCATTGAGGAATTGCTGATCATTCCTCCAAGGCATTTCACAGAAGGGCAGAAAGCCACCATGTGACTTGACTTGAGTAAGAAGCAGCAGGGAAGAGAAAGAGGAAGAGGTTCGGTCGGTTCTCGGTCGGTTTGGTCCCCAACCGTCGGCAATGGTATCAGCATACCTATGCGTAGCTGTGAGTGCATTGGTATATTTGCTAATGTGCTTACCTCTGTTCCAAATTCAATCAAATAGGAGTGTAGGCATATGCAATTAAACATTCCTTAGGAAACACAACATGGTATTAGGTTTCATAAGGCAACTCGACTTTGGAGACTTCCCTTACTCCACTGGCTGTCCGGAAATCTTCTCCAATGCGGACTGTGTTTTACATAGAGTGAAGGAGCATGAATATTGCATACGTTGTGATTCACACAAGACACAATTATGGTAAAAAAAACAAAAGACGAATACAAGAATGTCAGAAGATTGCATCCAAACCAGAGATTGAGAAGATTGCACACAGGACAACAATCGGGGAGAGGCAAGGTCTGCTCATCACTCTGCATTCTTGGAAAAAAAAAACCTATCCTGGCATCGGTCTGCAAGCCCCGAGAGTACCACCCTGGAAAAGAGATGACACGAAGGCTACCAGAGTGGCCCGAGGTCACTTGTCCGGCCGGGCCAAAAAAAATAAAAATAATAAAAATAATAAAAATGTTTAAATTTTATTTTATTTTTATAAATTTGGTGTAGAATTTCGATGTGACCCTGAGGCCAAAGTTGTTCAGTTTATTTTTCTGCATAACATAGTTTTTTTTTCGTTTTTTTTTTTGTTTTTTTTTGTTTTTTTTTGTTTTGTTTTTTGCTGGGACCTTCCCTGGTCCTTGCACGGGATGGCCACCCAGGACCCGGGCGGCCTGGCTGGTAGCCTCCTAGGATGGCACAGTATTTGAAAGTCTGGCCAGGTATTTCAAAGCCATTCCACACAATACCCGGCTCATGCCTTCACAGCCTTACCAGGGAGGATAGTGGTGATCCCTGAAGCGCTTTTCTGCCACTAGCCATTATTCACGACTTCATCAGAGGGTGACACTTGCAATCAAAAACTTATAAGGTTTTGGCAGCAAGAGAGGAGACGATGGTGGCCAATCCTGCAGATGATATAGGAAAGCCAGAAAAGACAAGAAGGCAAGCATCCCTATGAAAACCAAGAGGATGTAAGCAAAGACCTACCCAATCTCTGATCTCTCCACCATTTCGTCCTTCTTGAGGGGGCTAAGAATCTGGAAATAAGCCAGCTCGTGAAGCCAAAAGGAAGGAAAAGGATTATGACCGTGCCGCACCTGCAATCAACTCAGCTCAGATTGTCATGTGCAAGATAGTACTCACAGTTATGGAGTTATAGGGAAAAGAGGAGAGAGAGAGAGAGAGAGAGAGAGAGAGAGAGAGAGAGAGAGAGAGAGAGAGAGAGAGAGAGAGAGAGAGAGAGAATGGCGAGAAGAGGATGGAAGAGAGGAAAGAGGGGAGAGGTGTTAGTAGAAAAATAACAAAAACGACAGAGGAAGAGTGATAAGAGGAGATGGGAGCCCGAGATGTAGAGGATCGTGCGGAATGCAAAGCGTGCGGATGGAGTCTGGCTGACAGTGTGTGCCCAGACTGCGACAAAGATTGAGTAATTCTGTCCGAGGGAGCTAGACAATGGTGTGGATTATACCATAGTATCCTCTGCACCTCGGTGCTGGTCGACCTTCTTGAGCTCAACGATGAAGTCCATACTGCTGCCTCTCACCACGCGGGGAACCACTGAGGCTCTCAGCGTGATCGCCGAAAGGCTACGGCGAAAGCCGCAATTCCACTCGAGCGTCCGCTGCAACACTACTCACCGCCCCCACCACTGCACCCACCTCTGGCCTTTAAACCGGACTAACCTATCCTCTTCTCCTTATACGCATCACATGTATCTGAAGGTTGCTTTTCCTGCCGTCAGTTCTACGGCTAATTTGCTAAAGCAGTTGTGTTCATCATCATTTACCAAATTATTATTATTATTATTATTATTATTTTTGCAAAGCAATTTCTCACCTGCGCAGGGTTCAGTTGCTGCAACGTTACCAAAAAAAAAGAAAAAAGGAATGAAAACATTGAAAAAAAAAAAAAAAGAAAAAAAAAGAAAACGGAAAAGAAACGGGTCGGATCCGTATGGTGACTATGGTCTCATCAATGGTCCACGCCTCCACGGGTTACAACTCTCCCTTTATGTGGTTATTAGTGCCCAGTCCTTGAATTTATCCGTGCGGTCACGAAGTACAGACCTCGTGCGTTGTTGTTGCCTGGGCACGATGGGGAACGATCACGTCTGTTCCACGAGCGAGTTGTTTTATTATGCACAGTTTGCGAATGACTATCATTGCTGATGACAGTCCCAAAAAGGAAGAGAGAAAAAGAAAAGGAGAAAAAAAAAAAAGAAAAAAAAAGGAAAAGGAAAGCGAAGATGAAGAGCGAAAACAGGCAAACCTGCAATCGCGAAGGGGTGGGATTTCAGAAGCACACATTCCAAGATGCCAGAATTCTCCCTTTTTTTTTTTTTGGGAATTCTCCCATGATCTTTGTTAAGGGGGGGATTTCTTTTCTTATTTCTTTTCTTTTTTGCTGCTCCTGCCTGTCCCTCCAAAGTCAGCCATCAGGCGGCGTTCCAACTAAAGTCTTCTTATTATATAAACAAGTGAGACCGCCGTGGTGAAGTGTGGCCCAGCGCCAAGCCCGCTCCGGGCACAGCCATTATCTGGCCTGGGTGACACCAAGGGGGGTTTGTTGTAGATCATAACGGATGCGCAGAATTCGGGGGGCGGCATCAGCCAAGCTATCAGCTCGCCGCCTTTGGATCCTTTGTAAATCAGAACTCGTTGTTCCGGTTGCAGCTGGATTTCAACTCACGTCTGCGTTTCAACAGGTTCATGTGTGCATCCACTGAGCCAGGGCTGTTGGGTTTTGCCCCTTCACAGCCTGCCATGGCCTGCGCTCCACTATTCGCGAAATGTGCAAAATGTGCAAAATGAGATTTGTCTTTCATGCCTACCGTGATCTTCCCCCTTTTTGCCTTTTGTGCATGGAACGTGGAGTCCTTGTATACACTGAGAAATGGATCTTCCGGATTCTTCCCATATTTTTTGTCTTTTGTGCATGTGGTGAGAAATGGACCAACTTGAAGGTAGGCCTTGTATACATTGTGAGAAATGAATCTTCCACATGAACATGGGAAGATACACCACCGTATTTGTGTCTTTCATGCATGTGTGAGAAATGAATCTTCCGCATGAACATGGGAAGATACACCACCATATTTGCGTCTTCTGCCATATTTGTGTCTTTCATGCATGTGATTAGCGGGGGGGCGTGTGGTGAGAAATGGACAGAGGTAGACCTTTTGTACGGTTGCATTGTGAGAAATGAATCTTCCCCATGAACATGGGAAGATACAATGCCATATTGTTGTCTTTTGTGCATGTGGTGAGGCAGTTGAGTGAGGGCCTAAGCAAATTCACACACACACACACACATATATATATATGACGATATATATATATATATTTTGCCTTTTGTGTATGTGGTGAGTACTGGAGTGACGCCTCAAGTGCACGGACAGCGTTGCATGCATTGGGACCATCCCAGAATGTTGTGAGGAATGAATCTTCAGCGTGAACATGGCAAGATACACCACGAAACGTTTATGTCTTTTGTGCATGTGGCGAGTACAAAGGAGCGAGGCCGTATGCAAATCGACAGGGCTGCATGCAGGCTGACAAAAAGCCACGTGCAGGTAGCAAAAAAGAAGAACCTGAAATGCACCGCACGTGTAGCATAACTCAGAACACTCAAACATCAGATTT